GTATATTTTCTACTTTGGAGTGTATATATATTATATATATATATTTATGTAAAAATAGACACAACACTAAACAGGATGTGAGAAAAACGATGGGCCAGTAAAAAACAGAGGTAGCAACACTTAATATTTAATTGGCTTGACCAAACAGCAAAGGACAACTTGAATACTCCTTATGTGAAACACTTGGGATCATAAGCAAAACTTTTCTAGATTTTGGAATATTTGCATATGCAGAATAACTTATTTGGAGAAGGAGACTGAAATCTAAACACGTAATTCATTTATGTCTTATATACGCATAACCAGAAGGTAACTTAATACAGAATTTTTAGTATACCTGTGTTTTGACTCTGTCACATGAGGCCAGGTGTGGAATTTTCTAGTTTGGGAGTCATGCTGGCACTAACACCTTTTGGATTTTGGACCATTTAGGGTTTTAGATTTAGGATGTCCAAACTGTATTGTTCAGTCATAGGAAAAAGTATAAATTGGCAGTAAGAATATAATCCTTTATACTTCTTTCCTCAATGTAACATTTCTCTAAACACTTTGAAAGTGTTCTGGAATTACCATCTTTATAAGAGTTTCAGTTGAAATTGTTGAATAGATATAGGAATCACGTGCCTGTATTGAGTAAAAGATGTTAACCTGATAAGCTGGCTGAGCTGAACTCTTGGTTGTCTCTTAGGAACACAATCATGTACCAAGTTACCTCATTTTAGCATCTTTCCAATATAAATAGGCTGCAAACTTGCAAATCATAATATGCTATCTCATTTTCCCTTATTTCTTTGCTCACTCTGTAGTATATGTACCAAGGAGCAACCAGGTGGTATCTTCAATACTTGCTGGAAAACCTTCTCAGCTGGCTGAAATGACTATGCAAGTTTATAGCTTCCAAGTTGGTTTCCACAAATGGTTGAACCTGTTAGCCAATATTCTGCTAGTATCTATCTAACAAGGGTCACCTTTCTTCCAGTTTCCAATAAGATATTCCTTGTGAGTCCTTCCCAGGACTACCTTCAACGTTTATATTTTTACCAATATCTTGTTTCCAAAACAACAGCTAGTTCTACCACACTCATCACACACTTCTAAGTCCTCACCAGAATGACAAATATTATCTTAGCAGTCTCAAGGCCGTATAGACTTTGTCTATATTTCTCAGAATTCTTCCAGATTCAATTTCACAGCTACTTTTCCATTTTTAGGTTCTTGTGACAGCATATCCCACCTTTTGGTGCCAAAATCTATACTGTCTTTCTAGTGGTCTTGTAACAAATTGCCAAAACACAATGACTTCAAACAATAGAAATGTATTTATTCATGATTCTCGAGGCCAGAAGTCCAAAATCAAGGTGCTAGCAGTGTTGCTTTACTTCTGAAGGCTCTAGAAGAGACTCCTTCCTTGCCTCTGCCAGTTTTAGTGATGTTAGGTGTGGCTGGAGGCTATTTAACTCCAATCTCTGACTCTATCTTCACAATGTCTTCTCCTTGATTCTTTTATCTGTTTCTTATGACATAGGATTTGGGGTTCACCCAGGTAACAAAATATGACCCAATTATGCCTATGCCTGAAAAGACCTTTGGCCTCCACTCAACCCACAACAAATAGGGAAGATGGCAAATCCAACCTAGACTATATTGCAAAAGACTTTAAGGAACACTCTACAGGAGTGATACTTTGTAACTCATGAGAAGACAATGCAACTTGTAGTTTAAAGAAGTTTAACTGATTGGAACTAAGCCTGGAATTAAGGCTAGGCAAGCTCTGGGAGAAACTGCAGATAAGTTTAAACTAGGAAGCTGGGTATGGCGACGCATGCCTGTAGTCCCAGCACTTGGGAGGCAGAGGCAGGCGGATCTCTGTGAGTTCAAGGCCAGCCTGGTCTACATAGTGAGTTCCAGGACAGTTGGGGCTACAGGGAGACCCTGCTTCAAAAAGACAAAAAAAAAGCTAGGAATAAAAATATAGAAATAAAATGTAGCACAGTTTCTTTTTTGAACCGCATGCCTTGTTTTGTGAATTGACAAAAGCAGTTATAAATTTTTTTTCTTGAGGTCTAGCTACTTTTGCCCAAGGCTGCCCTCAAACACATGAGTTTACTAAAGCTCCTTCTGCTTATGCTGGGATTACATGCTGTTTATCCCAATACGAAGGGGGAAAAATTCAGTCCCTACAGTTTAAAAACAATTTTTTTATGTGTATGAGTGTATTGCCTGTATGTTGTGCACTACCAGTGGAGGACAGAAGAGGGCATTGCGTTACCTAGAACTGGAGTTACGGAAGGTTGTTAGCCACCACCTCGATGCTGGGGATCGAACCCAGGTCCTCTGCAAAAGCAGTCAGTGCTCTTAACTGCTAAGCCATCTCTCCAGCCCTAAAGTCCCTACATGGTTTATGCACAGTAAAAATACAGAATGAATAACAGATTCTGTTGGGCAGGCTAAGAGGTGGGGGAATCGGAGGAGCGGCCTCTCCACAATTGCCTGGGAGATGAATGGATGTAATTAGAAAACTACTGCTTCAAGCATTGTCTGCTGAACAGAACCCTGCCAAAGTGCTCGCACTAAACACCACATTCCACCTTCCATTTCTTCTCTGTGAATGGCAGGAGGAAGCAATTAAGCTGGGATGAGGAAGTTTTAGCTGGAGCGCAGAAAGGAGCGAGAGAGGAGCCCGGGGTTGTGCAGGGACAGAGTGCGGAGAGGAAGAGGGAATGACGCTCAGAGCGCCCCGGGACGCTGGTGTGCGGGGAAGGGGAGAAGCGCGGGTGTGGGGAGACGCCTCCGGGAGAAGCCCGGGTGTGGGGAGACGCCTCCGGGAGAAGCCCGGGTGGGGGAGATGCCTCCAGGAGAAGCCCGGGTGTGGGGAGACGCCTCCGAGAGCAGCGCGGGTCTGGGGAGACGCTGTGGAGAGAAGCGCGTGCCTGGAGAGACGCCCCGCGAGAGAGGCGCGGGTCTGGGGAGATGCCCCGAGAGAAGCCCGGCTCTGGGGAGACGCAGGGACCCGCCGCCCACCGGCTCAGTGGTCCGCGCTCGTCTGGGCCCAGGCCGCGGCCCGCACCCACCTGGCCTCCAGCAATAGCGGGGTATCGGGCCACTTGGCGGCCAATTGCACGGTGACCGCCTTGGACGCGGCAGCCGAGTTGCAGAGGAACAGGACGAGCCACAGCGCGGAGTAGCCCAGGATCAGCCGCAGCGCCTTCATCGCTCTCGTCTGTGCCATGGCGCGCTGAGGCAAGTGCGAGCTGAGGACCGGGCTCCTCGGCTCGACCTGCCACGCTGCACTCGGCAACTCCTGGCGCTTCGCTGCCCACTTCCGGTGGGGGGAGCTGCAGTCCGTTATTCGCCGGGCCTAACTCTGCGCATGCGTACTTGGCGCGGTCCAGGGGGCGCCGTTGGGGCAGCCTCAGGGGAGGGTTGCAGGACCAGGCTCTAGGTGCTAGGATGTCAGACCCCAGCAAGGATGCTCAGAAAGGTCAGCCCCGGTTCTCAGGGACCTGGATAGAAGGCACGGCACGCTGGATCCCCAGAACAAGCTATGACTGACTGGAGATGCCAAAATTTCGCCTAGTCAGGAACCCGTGGGCTGCGATCCACTTTCTACAAGGGAGAGATTAAGGGATGTGAAAGTTAAAGCACGAAGCTCATGGAGCCCTCAGATCTTACTTTGACAATCACCTGAGCGCTTTTAGATGCCTCTGAGAATCTCCGGAGTGAGATTGGGCTTCAAGGTAATTTACTAGATCTCTTCAAGTCTCTCAAACACACAAAACAAGCATTTAAACTTCATTTGCATAGTCTATACGCTTCTTTAGAACACCCTATTCTAGACTCTGAGCAGTTAGGTCTCATTTTAAAGGTGTCTTTTTTCATTGATTTCTCTTATAATCTATTCAATCTTTATATTCCTCACTTTAGTTGTCATTTGGCCATTTTATATTTTATGTTCACTTTAGAATTTGAATACACTACGTATTCCCCTCAGACAGAAGGTATAGTCACCCCTGGCCTCTTGCCTTACTCATTTCTGGCACGAATTGGCAGAGCCTAGCACAGAATTTTATATGTTGAGGACCAGTAAGTGTTAAAAAGTCCTTGTTTTCTATATAAGTAACTAGAAAGTTAAGGCAAACGAGCTTCATTTCCATCCATAGTGCATTAGAAAAGGTACATTATGAAACTTTTATAAGTGTTTTCTTTAATTAACTTTTTTATTTTTGGGCTGAAACTTTAGTTGAAATTGTGGGAAAGAGGAAATTAAATACTGACTGGGAATATCTTAAATGTTAGCACATCTCATGGTTTGTAAAACTTAGCTTTAAAATGACTTGCTATAGTCAGGCATGGTGGCACAGGCCTTTAATCCCAGCACTCTGGGGGCAAAGGCAGGCAAATCTCTGTGAGATGGATGGAGGCCAGCCTAGTCTACATAGGGAGTTCCAGCCCAGCCAGGGCTACAAAGTGAGACTCTGTCCCCCAAACAAAACAAAACACAAAACCTTTCTATATAAATGTCACACACAATATGTTACTAAAGGATACTAATGAAATGTGAGTTAATAGACATTGCTGTTAAGTTCAGAATAGTAGAAATGCGACATTTCTCTTTTGGAGGGAATGACCTTACTTAATCTTGGCCATTATGTAATTACTTGCATAATTATTTTACGATTTATCCCAGGTGGTATTTTCCTAGGAATTTAAGTTACTTTGGAACATTCCTCATGCTGATCATTTCCAGGCTTGTTTCTCTGTCTGCAGAGTAATAGGGTAAGACTAGATGATGATCATGTTTCCTTCTAAATGTGATTACTGTGTGAAGAGAGAAAAATTAACTCCAAAAACCCAAGGGAGACCAGTCAAGTCAGTAAAAGAGCCAAGTATTCTAAAAATCAGTAAGTTCTAATATTCAATTAGTTATTTCTGAGTCCATAGCCACTTGACCCAGGTGGGCCATGAACTGTATGTACTTCAGAAACAGTTTTGCGTTAGCACTTTTCAGGCAAATACAATGCAAAGTTAGTGTCTTCAGGAGAATGTGGATGAGTGGATGGTAACAGTTTTTCTTGTATGTGGCAGAAGTGGTTAATTAGATCTTTATAATAAGAAACTTGTTTAGTCACATAAATTATCTTGGATTCTTCTTAAGGTAAAGAGCAGGTTGCATGTAATTAGTGTTGAAAATGGTACAATGTGAGAATAAAGTTCTGCCGAAACATTTTGTTAGCTAATAAGAATTTAATTTTCTAAGCCTAAATGAAGACTTAAAGTTGAAATACTTTAAAATACCCCATTGGTTTAGTTTTTCAAATTCCTCTTATTGTGAGTCAGACCCTATTCTCATTTTTATTGGAAGCTTTGACATATCGAAATATATCCTACTCTTTATTCCAGTTCAGAAAAATTCTTAAACAAGTAATTTGTCATATTTCTACTCTCTAGATAATATTAACCCCAACTAATCACAAGTAATGGTTTAGAGTTTTTAGTTTAATGGTCAGCAAGTTCAATTTGATAACTTTCCACATTTTATTTAAAATAAACTACAAATGTCTAATTCTAGTTTTTGTTTGCAGGTTTGTTTGAGTAGTGCTGGGGATTAAACCCAATACTTTATGCATGCTAGGCAGACATTCTACCCCTGAGCTTCTCCACCTCTAACTCTATGTTTTGCACTATATATATTTTTTATTGAATTTTTGTGCATTTCCTAAAACACATATTAATCATATTTAGAACCCCTCTCCTATCTACACATCCATAGCCCCTCCACCCGATTTCATGCATTCTGTCATTTATGTTAAGGCCTACTGAGTCAAGTTTGTGTCCCCAGATGTCCCTCAGTGTGAGTTCATCCACTGGAGTCTGGTCAGCCTATCTAGAGTCACTCCCTTAAAGAAGACTAACTCTCCCCAACCCAGCATGATCAGCTGTCAATAGTTCCTCAGTTAAGGTTGGGGCCTCCTGCCCAGTTCCCCAGTTCTGTTCTGGGTTTTTGTGTGTTTGAGTTTGCATGGGTCTTGTACATGCTGTCACTATTGCTGTAAGTTCATATGAGCAAGTTCCAGAAGCCTGGAAAACTCTGTTTCCTTATGGTCACCCACCATCCCTGGCTCTTACAGTCCTATGCTCCCAGCTCCACAATGGTTCCTGAGCCATAGGTGGGTGAGGTTTAATATAGGCATCCTATCCAGGGACATGTATTCTGCAGTCTCTTATTCTCTACACATTGGCCAGTTGTGACCTTCTGTGTTCATCTCTGTTGCAGGAGGAAGCTTCACTGGTAAGAACTGAGACATGCATTAGTAGTCTCTTTACCTCCTATTCCACTATGTTCTTGAGCCTTAGGCGTAAAGGTTCCATTGTAGATGTGTCACTTAGGGCTGAGCATCTCACAGACACATTCTCTGTATTTGACCAGTTGTACAACTCTATAGTAGTTTCCATCTGTCGCAAAAGAAGCTTCTTTCATGAGTGGTGGCAGATATACTTGTCTGCTATTACTGAGTTGGGGTTAATCTGTATCTTGAAGTCCAATAGTACTGTTTTTATGAAACTGGGTATACCAGAGTTTGGTGCATATATATTCATGATTGTTCTGTCTTCTTGGTCAGTTTTTCCCTTAATCAGAATGTGGTGACCTTCTTTATCTCTTCTGATTAATTATAATATGAAGTCTATCTTGTTAGATATTAGTATCAACTCCTGCTTGTTTCTTAGTGCTATTTAATTGGATTTTTTTTAACATTCTTTCATTCTAAGGTAGTGCCTATCCTTGGAGGTAAGGTCAGTTTCTTGCAGACAACAAGATAGATGAATTTGTTTCTAATCCATTCATCCATCTAGTCTGTGCTTTTTAACTGGGGAGTTGAGGCCATTAATATTTAGAGTTATTATTGAAATGTGTGGCTTAGTTACTGCCATTTTCTGATTGTGTTCTTACATGACTTTTTTTTAGCACAGTTTACCACAGTGTCTTTCAAATAGCAAGCAGGTGGTGGCTTTGAAATCTAATAATTTTTAGAACAATCATTTTTGATGATCTAAGAACTTGAAATTTGGTATTTGACGACTTCCTTTTGTACTTTCACACATGGTTAGCAAGGTCAAACTGCTTTTTATTGGTAGCAAAACACGCTTTACATAAAATTTAACATTTTAAGCATTTTAAATGTACAGATCAATGATGTTAAGCACATTCATACTGTTGCACAACCAATATGTAGGATTTTTCATCTTTCCAAAACTGAAACTCTGTATCCATTAAATAACTCTCATGCTTCTTCCTCCAACATCTACTTTCTGCTCTATTAATTCAACTCCTCTAGATAATCACATAAACAGAATCATACAGCATCTGTCTTTTTGTGAGTGGTTTATTTTCAGTTACCATAATTTCCTAAAGGTTTATCACGTTGTAGCATGTTCCAGAATTCCTTTCATTTTTAGGGCTGAATTATATTTCACCATGTGTACACACCACATTTTGTTTATCTATTTATCCTTTCATGGATACTTGAGTTTCTTCCACATTTCAGCAACTGTGAATATTATTGTTATGAATATAAGCCTAGAAATATCTCTTCAAGACCCTGCTTCCAGCTCTTCTGGGTATCTATCCTGAAGTGGAAATACTGACTCATATGGTAAGTCTAGTTTCTGTTTTATTGAGGCATTTCCATACTGTTTTCTCCAGTGATTGTTCTGTTTATATGCCACAAAAAATGAATGTTCAAGGGTTCCAGTTTTCTCATATACCCATCAGCACCCTGTTTTCTCTTTCTCTCTCTCCCTTTTTTTTTTAATAGCCATCCTAATGGAAGTAAGGGAAAAGCTCACTGTGACTTTAATTTGAATCTCCAAAATGATCAATGTAGAATTCACTTTAAAATTAATTTCAGAGCCGATTTCTAATTTGAAGACAATAGTTTCCATAATGGTATAAGTACAAGACAGTCTCCTAGCTGGGTATGGTGGCACATTCCTTTAATCCTAGAACTTGAGAGGCAGAAGCAGGTGGATCTCTGTGAGTTCAAGGCCAGCCTGCTACATAGTGAGTTCCAGGACAGCTGGGGCTACAGGGAGACCCTGTCTCCTGTCTCAGAAAGACCAAAAAAAAAAAAAAAAAAAAAAAAGGTGGGGGGGAGGGGGAGACAGTCTCCTTTGTCCCTTTTCATTCATCTCACTACGAAGATAAAACTTTAAAGATTACATTTAACTGACTATTGGGACCTTCTAAACAGTAGCTTAACATAACAAGAGATTTTTGATTCCCACATTTCAAACTGTACATAAAATTGTCA